AGACCTCTGTCGTCTGATGCCACTATGAAGTCGTCGGACTAAAACTATCAATTTGGTACCCCTTCCACCAAAGTTAAGGGCTCATAGATGTACCACTAAATCCTTTCTTTTACCTCTTGGACTACTGTACCACGAGTTTTTGTGATATTTTACTACCTTTTTCATATAATTGTTTCGTTGCTTACCTTGTTCTGTTTGGTAGTGTTTCTCTTTTTCCAAACATTGGAATTTGCTTGTTGTTTTATGTTATTGGTAAAACCTATTCAACACTCCTATGATTTGAAGAAAAAATAAGTTTATTCAAAGAACCATTCATAAAAAAGATACATATATTTTTCCGAATAAAAAGATCTGCAGTTTTGTTGCAAAAGTACTATGATGATCATCACTCAATCGTACACTCACTTGCACTTTGCGGTCAAAGAATATATCCAAGGTGATGCTTTTAAATTAGAAAATCATGCCTGATTAATTGTATTACGAGGACATAAATGTAAATAAAAGCATTGTATCACTGTCTTGGATCGAACGTAGGCCAGCCACTAGGCCTTCGACTGATTATATTACGATGTTTCGATGGTTCCATCAAATTCAGCTGTGTCGAACAAAATGTAATTTAAGAACAATTTCTCTTAATAATTGTATCATCATGGATAGAGCAGAAAATATAATGGAATACCGAGTTATTAATAATATATATAACTTACGAAAAATAATCGTTCTAATTTTTTTTTCTTCCAACTACCTTTAATTAAGTACTCACTATACAGAAGAAGAGGCTCATCTTGTGAGCTGCTTAGGTGATTCGAAATCTCCTTAGCCTAGATCACATCACTTTATTGATGAAAAAGGCAAATAAAAATTAAATATCCGACGCAAAACTAAAGCGTATTCCAACTAAAAGCTATAGATTATAACTAACATGCAATATCATTTCACCTGTCGGTTTCCACGACCCTTAAAAAAACAAACATGTTCTGACTCCATTCGTATTTTTTTCTTGACACTCCAGTAACCACTCATTGAATACTATTTTTTGACGAACGCCAAATCAAGCCCTACCATTTATATCGAGGGGGTGTGTAATCCCCTAATTCCGTACAGTTCACAAGAGAAAGCAGGAAATTTGAGATCAATCTAAGGTATTATTAATGTTAAACACAAAGCAAAGTACTTTGATTGTAATTTTTAGTCAAGTAGTGCATTGTTATTGAGGAATGCATCAAGAACTGCGTTTTCTTCTAATAAAATATCGTATTTTCTTGTTACCAAAATGATCATTTCTGTGACGTCTTTTCACCTGATCGTCGACAACGTCCCTGAACCATCTTCACAGTACGATCTTTTGGTGGTCCAACTCGATCAATGTAATGTAAATTATACAATGAAATTTGTTATTTATTATTTCAGCTATACGTGTAGAAGGGCGATAATAACAAGCAAGAATTTTGATGATCGCTTAAATAGGTAAGTAATAATTCCCTCAAAACCTTATAAATGTAAAATTTTGAAGTATACCAAAAGTAGATAAATGTATAAGGGACAATTATTTATTAATTGGTGTTAGTATCTATGACTTGATTATACGATAAAACCATTAACTTACAGTGCTAATTTACAACATCCATCAAGCTCAGAACGCAAAAATTGTTCGAGGAAAAGGAGGTGATGTACACTCTGTCTCCTCTACCTCGAGAGTTTCGATGGACCCACCCTAACAATAATTTTAGCCTAGGCCTAGCATATAATGTGGTATTGTAATTACCCACAGCTCTATGTTATCCACATCGAAGACATTTTTGAAGGTAAAATGAGGCTATAACTTTGTTTAAAGTAAAATAGTCACACGATAATTTCTGATGTTGATTTTTACACATTCCAATTCCATCTGAAATTCCTGCCTAGACATAGGCCTAGGACCTAGCATAGGAGCCTGTATAGCACATAGACCTGGGCCTTTAGGCCTTAGCTAGCCTGCTATTATTAGTACTGTACTATTCGTCTAGGACAGGCCTATATAGCGCTGTAGTGTAGGACAAATGTGTGTTTCCTTTTATTTATTTTAGGTTTGTATGAAAATACAATGAACCACAAGCTCCAAATTCTAAATTTATAAATGTAAAAAAAATTACTTGATGAAATTCTGGTTACAGAATTAATACAAAGCAACAACAACACATTTATTTCATGATTTCAGACTTGTTTTCAGCTGAAATGGACAGCATTCTATATACCTGTAGCTAGGTCTCCATATATACTGTGTATTGTAATTTTGAGGTGGCATATACCTTCTTGAAATAAATTGTAGGCAAATTGGCAACTGTAGCTATTATTGATGCAAACCTTCAAACTGTGAAAAGAGGCTATAAACTACACTGCCCGTTTAAAATTTATATGATTCTCGTAATGATAAAAAGGTGTTGTGTTGACAACGAAAAAAGTAAGAAAGATTAATTTTGCTGTGGTAAAAAACATCATTAGCAAGTCAATAATAATTCAATTTATACTTTAAATTCAGGTTATGAACCATGAGTCGACAAGCAGTAAGTGGCAAGGCTCGGAGCCACACACCGACCACTAACCAGGACCTAGCAAGTCTCTTTGAATGTCCAGTTTGTTTTGATTATGTCTTGCCACCAATCCTTCAGTGTCAGAGTGGTCATCTTGTTTGCTCAACCTGCAGGCCAAAATTGAGTTGCTGTCCAACATGTAGAGGTCCTTTAGGTAAGTAGAGGATGACCAAAAAAAAAAATGATTAACAAATTAATCAACATCATATTTGTTTTTAAATTTCAAATTTACTCATGTTATCATGTTGTATAATATCAACATTGTCAATTGATTATTAAAGTTTTGGTTATAAATACAGTAATAGAGTACATGATAGTAAATTTGCTGTGGGGTGGTGATATCAGTAATAAGTATAAATCTACACTTAGGTTCATAGTATGTATTCGGTACTAAAGTTTGCCATTTGTTATTTTCTTTCACGCCTCACAGGAAGTATAAGAAATTTAGCTATGGAAAAAGTTGCACAAACAGTAATGTTTCCCTGCAAGTATGCTTCATCGGGTTGCTTGGCAACCATGCCACACACAGAGAAGCCAGATCATGAAGAAGCGTGTGAATTTAGGCCATATTCCTGCCCATGTCCAGGTGCTTCATGCAAATGGCAGGGCTCTTTAGAACAGGTTATGCCACATCTTATGCATTCACATAAAAGCATCACAACGTTGCAAGGTACGTCAGTTCATTGGTATACCATATATTTTTCAAGTAGTATTATAAGCCCATGCTCGAGTATAAGACCATTTCCTAATTTAGGATTTATTTCGGATTCAAGCCTTCATTCAAGGCTAAGAGAAAGGTTCGAGGCTCTATTTTGAGGCTCTCTACATGTGTAGACACTGTAAGGAGAGGAGTTATATATTTTCATTCCCCACTAATAGCACTTGGCTGGGAGTATTCAGACAGAACTGTATTTTACTACACATTAGGCTGGAGAGTCATAGGTCATTACCATGATACTAAAAAGCCAATGATGCTTTTGTTCTTTGACACATGCTTATTGTTGCAACATTTAGGTGGTTACAAGGGTAAAGCCCTGCCCAGACTATCACATTTTATATGACAAAAATATGTGACATGCCTAAATATGGTCATGATGACATCACATCATGACCATATATAGGCACATCATGACTATATATGGGCATACAACAGGTTTTTTTTCCCAAGTAAAATTTGATAGTCTGGACAGAGCTTAACATTTGTTACAATTACATATCAAACTTATGCAATCTGAATACATTATAAGATTGATGATCGTGTTATGCACTTGTCAATTGTACTCCCCCACCCCCCCCTCCAGATGCGGGCCTAGTAGGAACTTAGCCGGGGATGTAATTTCCAGAATGGTTACAGTACATGCATGTGGAAGTCCCGGCCACCTCCCGGCAATGCGGGACATCGTTTTAACATACATCCCCGGGTAAGTCCCTCCATTTACCGTCATAGTTCTGGTAAAATTCCCTCTTAATAAATGATTGGATGATAAAACCTACTTGAAGGTCTAGCCTATGTTTGAATCGGAAAAGCATGTGATGAGAGCTAGGCCTGATGGAAGCACTACGCATGCATATCACTAAGCAGATTTCCATGGAAGTTTGGAAAAGTGCGAAAAAAAAAGGAGTGTATTGACAGATTGGTCATAGAAAAAGAAAATAATTGATTGATTGATTTAACTGATTGATAGAATTTAATTATGCAATATCAAAACAGAAATTAGGCCTAAATAAGGAAATGAATACATGTAGTAGAAACAGATTTCCTTACCTTGGCTCATGTACTGGCGCATTTTTGATGCAAACTAGGTCAAATTAACAGTTCACAAATTTTCACACAACACACTCTCGTGCTGCCACCTTGGTCCTCGGCGTTGTGTGGTTGGAGGTTGAAATTTCATTATGTAATTTTTACCGTGATCTATAAAAAATGATGGCCAACCATGATGGTTGGCCTAAAGTACCGGTAGGCGATTCTTTAATTACCAGAACACACGGTTAGTTGCTGACTGAATGCCTAGGGGCTAGTGTAGGCTAGGTAGGACCAGACCTGGTTTGACAGCACTAGGCCTAGCCCAGGCCTACACACCCAAAACTGCTACTATAACTTGTAAAATTCCCGGCCCTTCCAAGGGCAAATTTTAAGTACGTCCCGGCACTACGGGGACACAACTACAGTATGTGTACATCCCCGTCTCAGTCCCGGTTAGTGCCCCACTATGGCCCGGGTCTGGGAGCCGAGACTGCAATTGACAAGTGCATTACTCTTACTTATATTCCTTTAATATGTAATGATTCATTCCAATTTCTAATTTGTTTATAAATTACAAAACTTTGTAATATAGAATTTAAACACCAAAATAATCTTTTTTTTAGGTGAAGATATAGTATTCTTAGCTACAGACATAAACCTACCTGGAGCAGTTGACTGGGTTATGATGCAGTCATGCTTTGGCCATCATTTTATGCTAGTGCTTGAAAAACAAGAAAAATATGACGGTCTACAGCAGTTCTTTGCAATAGTTCAACTCATAGGCTCACGAAAACAAGCAGAGAGTTTTGCATACAGGTGAATTGATATTGATATAAGAATTTTGGAACCACTGTATGTAGTCATCAGTACCATCATTATCAATTCATTACCATCATTATTACCAACATCATTATTATTATCATTATTATCATCATCATCATCATCATCATCATCGTCAACATTATCATTATTATTACCATCATTGTCATTAACATCATTATCATTAACAGCATCATTGTCATTAACATCATAATCACCATCTTCATCGTAATCAAGAGCCTTGATTTGATTTAATTTATTTTGAAATAGCCATAAAATACTGCACATACAAAGATATAAAAAAGGCAAAAAAGTTGCTAAATTTGAAAAATAATAAACTGGATAAAACAAGGATAACACAAAAAGTTTAAAAACAATTTAAACTTATTCCATTGTGGTCCTTTGATAAAATATAAATAAAAGAATTTGATTTAATCCACAAACATACAAATTATGCACAACTCATAAGGCTCTGTCTGCATCATCAAAAACATGTTGAAGAGACTGTTTCCTAATTATTAATAGCCTATTAATTTTCATAATTATCACATTTTTAGCAGTAATGATCATCTTTTTTTTTTTAATTTGGAGCAAGAAAATTATCTTTTTTCTTTGTTTTTGTACCCATAAATTAGATTGGAATTAAATGGTCATCGACGACGATTATCCTGGGAGGCCACGCCTCGATCCATCCACGAAGGAGTACAGGCAGCGATCATGAACAGTGACTGTTTGGTGTTTGATTCTAGTATTGCTCAGCTCTTTGCAGAAAATGGAAACCTTGGAATCAACGTAACTATTTCCATGTGCTGATCAATGTCTCTGTGTTGTTGTATACTTTATTTATATTTTCTTTAGAGTAGGGTTCCCGGGTGAAGTAATAAGACAAGCGGCTTCATGGTACAGTCTATTCTAGAATTATGCACATTGAAAGGGGGGGGCCTAGACTGTGGTATGTATATAGTTACCTCAAAACAATGTCATACATTGTTTACCACAGTGCTTTATAGGAGAATTGAGGTATCTTCTTGTAAGTTATCTTTCCCAAGAAATAATGTTTTTCTTTGCATCACTTTATGACATGGGGGATGCAATAATTTCTGTAACTAAGGCATAATGCTACACGTCTACACTGCTAAGCAGTGTTTATCCCTGTGGTGTCTCTAATGGGCATGGGGATGCATGCTTCCTTAAAAAATATTGTTCACTTAAAAAAAAAAAAAAATACTTGCTGTGCAAAAAAATGACACTCAGGTAGTTAAAAAGCACCTCATATCACCCCATATTCCAGCTAGCACTATCTCATTTTTCCTTCGTTCAGCCATCAGCTTCCCTTCATTGGCCCCACCCAATGGCAGCACTTAGTTTTAGCATGTGGTTAGCCTAACATTCATTACTTTGCATGAGCAAACTTATTATCTGGTTTGCCATGCCTCTTCCCTTCATCAGCCCCACCCAATGGTAGCACTCCTAGATATGCCATTTTGTTAGCCTAACATTCATTACTTTGCATGAGCAAACTTATTATCTGCTTTGCCATGCCTCTTCCCTTCATCAGCCCCACCCAATGGTAGCACTCCTAGATATGCCATTTGGTTAGCCTAACATTCATTACTTTGCATAAGCAAACTTATTATCTGCATTGCCATCCCCCTTACCTCCCAAGCACATATTGCAGTCAAAATTAGGTGACATATTTAAGGATAAATGCCGTAAAAATGCTTGTAATGTAAGAATTGTCTTGTATATAGAATAAATTTAGAGGAGTGAAATGATTTGCTGAGTTCTGAGGAAAAGAATTGATGAAACTGTCAAAATTGTACTGTATGTGGCTGAGCAAAAATAGCAAGAAAAAAAAATTATGATTGATAATGATAATTATGATGATGAGCTTAAGTAATTAAGCTTATCTCAGGTTATTTTCTTTACTCCTATTCAGGTTTTTTTTATCCAAGTGTATTTATATTGTCAGAATAATATATGCTGTCTGTAAATAAAGGCGACTGGTTTTGAAACATCATAAACAATATGATTTTCAAAACAAATTATTAAATTGTTTCCTTTAATTATCGAATTTTCTATTGAGTAAAAAATTATTAGATTATTCAGTTAGAAATGTGATGTGGAAGGGATATTTTTTTATTATATTTTATTCACGCAAATTATCTGATAGTTGGTAGCATGCTCAACGGAGTATAATAATGCATTATGCCACATAAACATTTATGTCAACTTTCAATACAGTACATTGATGGGTTGAGGTAACCAATCCTATGTATATTTCTGTCTTTTATTGCTATAAATAAATTAAGGGTCAGTGCTTTGCAGCCATAAAATATATTGGTGATCCTACAAAATATTTTTAACCACAGACATACAGAAACATGTTATGTTGTGATGTCCGAGTTTTTATCTAAAATAATTGAGAAGATGCATTAATATAGGAACATACCCTGTGACTGGTTGTTAAGTGTGGGTGTGGCAAGATCTATTGGATTGGTTTTCCTAAACTCTTTTAAGTTTTAGAGGTCTTGCCATACCCATATGTTATGTCAGTATCTGATTTTGATTTTCAGGGATTAACACACGTAAAACAAATTTCAAAATTTATTATGAATAATATCTTTATTGTATCAAGCAATTGAATAAATCTTGATATACCTAAAGTTTTATACAAAATTATTTATCAGGAAGTATAGTAAAAACTTGAGTTAAATTCCTTACTGTATGTGTATATTTTACTCCATAACCAACCACATGCGATACTGATTTTAGAAACATTTGTATTATTCAGTATATAATGTCAATACTGATTTTGTGTCAAGTCACCTGTATTAATTATAAAACTATTAGCGTATTTAGCAGTTAGCAAGATTCAATACTCTGTGCACATGCTGGAATCAATGACTATTTGGTACAGGGTACATTAAGAATCGTGGCTGATTAACAGATTTGCTGCCATGGGCGACAATACTCATCTTACTGGGTGGGGCAGATAAGCAATGGACTGGTATACTTTATTATGTATTATGACAATAATCACACCCATATAAGGCAATTCACACAAATTTTCACTTAAAATTTGATAAATGTGAATAGAGCCAAACACACTGGGGCAGCAGCATAAGCTTTGTCCACACTCTCAAATTTTATGTGACAAATGTGATATGCCCGTATTTGGGTGTAATGTGACATCATCATGCCCATATATAGGCACATGACACCAATTTGTCACTTAGAATTTGATAGTGTAAGCAGAGCTTCAAGAAAGCACATAGGGCCTACAGTAATATATTTGAGATGTTTGATGTTTTATTATTTGCAGTTGGCTAATATTTCTACATGGTAGCACCCTTTAAAACTTGTCGTGGCAAATGGGAAAGCTTTGTCATGCATTGCCCCGTGGCAGCAAATGTGTTAACACTATATAATTATCAGTTTTATATAATGCTATATTTCATAAAATAATATTTGGAAGGATAAAAAAATTGTTTTTATTTGAAAAATGTTGATCAAATCTATCTGGATACTGATAGCCTCAGAATTATTCCAGCATTTGCAGTTTTTCATCATTTTTGCCTGGAATATGCAAATTAGGCCCATGGAGAGTAACCATCCACCGACAACACAATTTGGTTTGCTATTGCATCTTTGTTTCGTAATAGAATATAACTTCGTATGATTGAATTGTGTTAATTACCATTATCCAAATTGACTGGTTCCCTCTTAAATACCATTGCTTTTCTTTAAAAAAAAATATATACTTAAAATATGAAGAATTAAACAATTATTATATTTTGTATGCATTTTTGATTTTGTAAAATGAGTAAATTATTTGAAAAAATATTAAAATATACTTAACAATATTGGTTTTTAAATACATATTTGGCTCTAATGCACTTTAGCACTCCAGCTACTATGTGAAATCTTAATTCGTAATTTCCACAAACATGGCTTTAGACACTCTACCTATGTGTACGCATCTTTGATGCTAGACTAAATGTATAGTACGATCCATGATATGTGATGTGAAAACAGACGGGCAAAGCGTGACCCGACAGTGATTTTTTTTTGTTTTTGCGGCCTGCGAAATTGAGTTAAAAACCCTATGTGTGCAGCCCACCAACCATCTTTGGCTAGAAAACACCTTGTTTTTGTATGGCCCGATACTGATTATCAGTAAAAAGTAATATTAAAACTCGGTATAAAAGCAGTGCAAGAAGTTTTTTGTTTGGAAGCACACTGGAAATATCAAAGTGTGGGTGTGGCCCTCTGTGTTAAAACAAAAACTCACTTTGGCTCTCTGACCATTTTTATGCCTGAGCTAGAACAAGCACTGGAAAACATGATTTTGCGTAGTTAATTGCTACAATTTCTGCATGATTTGTGGTGATTTTTGGATGAGGAAGTATAGCAAGATGTTGTTTCGAATGCCTACGATGCAAATGATTTAACAAAAAAGTACTAAAGTGCATTAGTGCTGCCAAATATTCTTCACAGAAAAATAGTGAATTTTTTGGCAAATGTCATTGAATGCATTTAACAATTTGCTATTATGTCTGCTTTAAAGTTAGTGTACAGGGCAACCTGTAATGCGTAATTTATTATCCTAGATACATAAGTTGTGATCCCTACAATACATGTCGAAAAGTACTGTTGAGTTCTCTGTACATAAACAGACTTTTTGACTTGTATTGTATGTGGTTATTGTGATACATTTTCAGGGCACAGAGATGTGTATATTATTACTGTATAAACAATGGTTTATGTAAAGTAGGTCATGTATATTAGACAATTGGGAATGAAGTAGTAAATAAGGTCAATTGTATGCATGTTCAGGGCACAGTTGACTCAACATTAAGTACAGTAATCCCAACAGAATGAATTATTATTATTATTTTTTTTAAATTTATTTTCAATTTAATGCAGAAATTTAAATACATAACTCTGCTGCCAATTGACTTCACATCTGAATGCATCTCATTTTGAAATAATATTTTAGTTTCAATGTACAATTTTGAATAGTTGCATATAAATTTCATTGTCTTATTGATACAGGTCTCCCTCCACTTATGGACCATTTCTGGTTTCTATGGTCTTTATCAGATTTGGTCTCTTATTAGAATAATAAAGAGAAGACATTTCTTAATTTAAGACCACAGAAAATTGGCCTTTAATTGGAGGGAGGCCTGTAGTTTGTTAGAGACATTCAGTCTGCTACTGCTTACTTGACTTCAATTTAGTTACCACCTTCAGGATTTTTCAAATGTGGCTTAGGTCCAACTGCAGACATGTTTGTTGCCTTGAAGTTGTTATTTAATCTTCAGTGCACCCTTTCCTCTTCTTTATTTCATATGTAGCTGCAAAAAATAGTGTAAATATAATTTACTTGGTCTTTAAATTGGTTGGATAGAATTAATTTTTGATACATTTTTAGGGCAATATCTAATTTATCATACATTTTTCAAACCATGCGATTGAAGTTTCCTTGTGTTCATAGTGCAAATCACAACATGTTGTTGGAACAAGACAACCCTCCAGTTTTATAGATATAACACTTTCAGTATCACTAAAAATATCAAAATTTAATGTATTGTTATGACAAACAGAATATACTTTATCATAGTTTTATCAAGTAAACCAATTGTTTACACAGATCCAAAAAAGTTTAAATTTGTTTTTTACGTTTGTGTTAGTACTTGTAGATTTATTATATAAGATATTATAATACATGTGTCTGTATTATTCAGTAATATTTATTATTCATACAAGAAAGAAATTTTGCCTTTATAATATTATTTACTGATATTCAATTTCATATTCATGATACTGTACCAATTCTATGCATTGGCCTACAGCCATAGCTCAAACTTCAGAGATGTTGTAAATTTCTCTGCTCATGCTTAAAAACATACTGTCTGTTTGTGATAAACCCTTTAAAATATTATTAAATGTTTGAATTACCAGCATATTGAAGCCAGGCTCTGGAGGAAAACAATTTTCTGATATGCTGTACAGCTGATCTTTCTAATACACGAAAAGGGTGTTTGACAGAAAACTCAGAAATGGTTAATAAATATTTTAAAATTCGGGGAAATTTTTTCCCTGTTTTTAAATATTCAAAAATCTATATCTCATTAACCGCTCTCAACTTTTTCATAAAACACAATTTTTGTGTCTTAAGGCCTATTCATACTATCAAATATTTTTTGACAGAAACATGAGACTTGCCTAAATATGGTCCTAATGACATCACATCAAGACCCTATATAGGCATATAAAATGTTTCCTCTGGTGCCTGGCTTTAATTTATTAGCTTTCAATAAAGAAATTCTGAGAAAAAAAATGCTTCACCAAGAAATAATAATACTGTTCCTACATTCTTTATATCCTCAGCTGGTAACGTTAACAGTTTTTGTAGAAGTAAAATGACCAATTCTGGCAAAAATTGCTTCAATATGTGGCTCATTGGAAGTTGATAATTAATTATTTAAGTAATTCAATATTTTAATTGATTTTTAAAAGGTTTTTGCCCAATTAATCACAGACTGTATATCCTTAAAACCATGCTCCATAGGAAAAATCATGTTATGTTGTATAACTCATTTTTCTGAGACACAAAAATTGTTTTTTCTCTGGAACCTGGCTTTAATGATAACAAAACAAAAATATTGTGTCGTAGTTAATCGTAATTGCTTATGGCGGTGGGAATATGCCATGGCGTTTTTGTAAGGAATTGTAAGTATTTTGTTTATAATAATCAATTACGTTTGTAGACATGATGGAATGAACTTGTTGAAAGTTTAGAATAAATTGATTATCAATGGCATAAATTGAAAATCATCTCAAGAGTTTTTTTGAGTTGTGAATTTAATTTGTTCCTTATTCATTTCATTCATCTCAAGAGTTTTTGAGTTGTGAATTTAATTTGTTCCTTATTCATTTAAGTCAATATTCTATTCACATTTTATTCCCCAATTTGACAATAAGACTGCATAAACGATAACCATTTGATTTTCCTGAATGTCAAAAATTAAACAAGTTTATTTGAATCTAACTTTGTGCACTCATTTAATTAGCGCCCTCATATCAAATTTAGGGGAATGCCCTCTGTCCCCACTTGCCGTGCACGCCTGTGTCGTCAAGGGTTATGTGTTATCGGTGAATCTATCGCGGTAACATTACATGGCGTGGTGATAATCTTGACTTGATCTGAACTCTGTGTTTCGAATAATGTACTGTTTAGTAATGATTATCTTTTGTATGCTAATTGCTCTGTAGAACGACCGGGATAATATTATCACCAGATTGTGCACAATCCAGTTTCAATAGGCCTAAATCATTGGAATATCACCTGTTTCCGACGATTAGAGTAACCGTTTAGTTTAGCAATCCACGTGCTGTTCCTTCAAAGCAAGTGTAATGTGGGCTGGAAACACGCCTCAGGACCTGTTCGTATTCGAAAAACAGTTTGATACACTGGCCTGGAGAAAATGGTTGGAACAAAACTGGACTTACAGTATTTTGATCGCTGCTATCTACATTCCAGCAGTTTTCACCGGAATAAACATCATGAAAGACCGTCGACCATTCAATGTACGGTATCCATTGATTTTTTGGAATATTCTCCTCGGAATCTTCAGTATTGCTGGAGCTTGTAGGTCAGTTCCAGTGATGATAAATGTTCTCATTCACGATGGTTGGTATCAGTCCGTTTGCGATTCTAAATACTTCTGGCCTGAGTACAGCGGCATTTGGTCAGTATTATTTGTGCTCTCCAAGGTACCAGAGCTTGGTGACAGCGTGTTCATAATCTTGAAGAAACAGAAGATGCAGCTACTACACTGGTATCACCATGCCACTGTCCTCATTTGTGTCTTTTACTTGTACAGCTTCCACACGTCGATCGCTTGTTGGTTCGGGACGATGAACTATTTCGTACACTCACTTATGTATCCATATTTTGCTGTCAGGGCAGCAGGAATTCGCCTGCCACGACCTCTAGCGATGGTAATTACGACTCTACAAGTTGTCCAGATGGTTGTTGGCTTGTACATCTCGCTCTATGTGGGTGTAATATATTTTTATGACGGCCGATGTGACGTATATACAGGACAGATCATCTATTCAACAATTATGTATTTCACATATATGATTCTATTTACGAATTTGTTTTACAAAAGCTACATTCGTAAGCCTAAGCCAAAGGCAGAATAATTAAGCAGGGAATCGTAGGGGTCGACAAGTCCTATCGTCATACCCAGGCAAAAGTATCGGTATGGCACTATCTATCAACCGATGATAGGTAAATGTACCTGATGAATGAGCTTTCACAACTTTAAAAGTCAATGAAGAAAAAGTTTAATTGTATGTTTCAATTTCAGCCAAATAATAATAATATGGATGATGTCAAAGATGAATGGCCTTTCATAGTCCCAGTTGGACTTTAAATAAAAATTGGGCCTGGTCTAATTGTAGTGTGACATCATTGCAACATTTTTATATGGGCTATGGAAAATAAATATCATTTTGTAATTTCATTATATGTTTGCTGTACTTTTTTTTTATCATGCTGTAAAGAGATGTTTTACACTCCATACATCAAATTGACAACTTAATTTTTCACTACAATATTTAGTAACCTGCCAATAATTTAATTCAATTAAGAGTTAAAGATCAGGGGTTGTTTACCTTGTTCAAAATACCGTATTTCATGAACGGATTTATCGTTCGTCATCGTTCATCACATCGTTCATCGTCGTTTATCAACGTTTTTCATCATTCATCATAATTGTTGATTGGTTCATTATCATTCATAATTGTTTATCGTCTTCCACTACCGTTCACCATCTTCAAGTCGTGCACCATCGCTTATAGTATTTCACCATCGCATCGTTTATCATCGTTAACCATTGTTCATGTTCTCATTCTTCATCGTCGTTTATCATTGTTCATCGTTCAGCAGTGTATATCATCCAGGGGAGGATGTATAGGATTTGGCGGTGGGGGGTGGGGGTGCGTGCAAGGGCGCATCTGTTTTGAAAGGTGGGGGACGTTTCGTGGAAATAGTACATGTAGATGACTGGAAATGACACTTTTATATAATATTCATCTTCATCACATAGTCAAAATGAAGCGCCAACAAATTCTTTTATCAGCTATTTTCGGCAGCCATAGGCCTAGAGATCTAATTACAATGTTTTATGTACTGTATACTATAGAAAATAAAACTTAAAAACAGTCTTTGATGTATTTGCTTTACCAATTTTTCACGCTTTTTCTCATACTTCTCAAATTAAAGGCACGCGCAATATCGAGTCGTGTATTAGGTAATTCAGATTTTTTTTTTGGGCAGAAGCGCTCTTTCGTTAAAACCTGGGTCATTCATGTAGGCATTTCAGGCATCTTTTTAACTTACGAAATTGCATTGCGGACGAAAAGTGAGGGGAACCAATCCCTTTTAAAAATATGTGGGAGGGTGAACGTGTCCTTTGCCCCAATGATCTGCGCCCATGGATGCATGAGAATCCACGCCACCCACAGCCCCAAAATGTTTGGGGTTGAGGTGGGAAAATTCAATAATCAAAACAATAATTCATGTTAATATAAACAATTTAGGGGGTGCGATCGCACCGTCTGCACTCCGCCCCCTACACCTTCCCCCGTCATCTTTTCTTTTTTTAAATTGTTAATCATCCTACCATCGTTCGTTTATCATTATTTATACCTTAGCTTACCCTTCCATCAACATTTCATCATTCATCGGCGTTCATTATCATTCTGTTTGTCCCCTCAAGGGAGGGGAGACAGTACAGCAGTGCAAAACACTGGGGCCCGGGGCTATTATATTAGGGGCCCATTCGGTAGGCCTTGATCAAAAAGTACAACTTAAAAAAATGATGGTTGTACAGTATTGGATAGCTGATAGAATTTGTCTGGTTATTTTCTGGTTTATCAAACAATTTTGAACACAATGTAAGTTATTTACTTATGGGGTATGTAGAGCCTATGACGATAAATAGAATTAGGCCTAATTAATATGATGGTTTTTTTTTTTGTTTTTTTGTTTTAAATAATTACCAACATTATTGGAGTGGAGTTGAATAGCTCAGTGGTTAAGGTGCTTGCCTCTGATCCGAATGTCCTGGGTTCAATTCCTGTCACGACAGGAATTTTTCTCGCAACAAAAACTCGACTGCCAAAGCCTCATAAAGAGACTTCTGATAAAAGCATCACATTATTTCATTTATTTAAGAGGGCCCTAAATATCAGCCGACCTTGTTGGATAAGCTGGAAGGGTCACCCTCTATAAATATGGTTTTAAAAAAAAATACATTTTATGCGTTATTTAAAAAATGATGTTCGCTCATTTTATAACATTGGCGGTATAACCATAGAGAAAATAGAACAGTTTCTATTTTCTCTATTGGTATAACATACATTCAATCAATGGGCGGTGTGCCATACCAGAGCTCTGAGTTGCGGGAATTATTTCCAAAACTCTATCATACGTCCCTGGTGATTAGCAGGATACCAGCCACGTTCGTTGGCAGTAACCAATCAAAATGTGTGTGTGGAAAAAAAAGTGTCGATACTGTGGGACGTAGACACAACAAGCTGTCCATGTGTACAGTTCTACCGGCGAACGAAGAATACTCTTTGGACAAGTCTGGTTGGTCTTTCTCTTCGATATTCTTTGTTTTTATATTATAACTTATAAGTGGTGTCATAAATACTATAGGTATGATTGCGGAATATCTGACGGCAATATCTACAAGGTAATTTAGTGTTTTAACTTTCTAGGCCCAATTGAACTACTGTTAGAAATTTTCTATCGCAGTCCGATTTTGCAATCTGTCCACCATGTTTTCTTTCGCAACCAGGAACCGGCAAAATGGTACCGTACGGTAGGCCTAAACACGAACCGAAAAGCTTTATTATATTAATTTCAATCGGTATCTAATACATAGCTGCCAGGTACATGAATGATAGGTACTCGTTTTTATTGAATATGAAGGCGTCAAGTCGTAGAATGTGCAACCACTCCAGTTAGGCTAGGCCTGTTTGGTTTGGTGGATAACATCTGAACTGAGTGATTGTAGCAGACTTGCCGCTTTGCTGGGTGAGCGTAGGCATAGATCTGTGACTTTTGGTAGACATCACTCTCCATAATAAATGGAACGTGTTTTTTCCCCGATCTGTAATTATGTTTTTGTGTGTGTGTGTTTTTTTTTCAGCCCATGGAATAATGATCATTTTTATGATTTTGAAGCATCTGGAAATGATAACAGGTAAGAACCTATAAATTATAACATTTGCAGATCAAAATGTGTCTTAAGGTTTATTTTGAATGACATTTGCAACCACAAAATTCAGTCAGCAGGGTTTTCTTGTGCCATTGAAATACAGTGTAGCATGCATTATTTTGGTTATGCATAGCTACCAAGTTTTGTGCATCTTGCCCAAAAATCTCAAGCCTTTTGTGAAATCTCACCCTTTTTCCAATAACTTGACCTATTATTAACTCTATATTCATTTTTCAGTTTGAATTATTATAATGACTTGAAGCTCACTTCAAGAGGGACCAGCAGACGTTCCTCGGAGTGCAGTGACAGGGAATCTGAGTTGTTTTGCACAGACAGCTGGTTCACGGATTATGACAGTGTTGTTACCTCGGCTGAGAGCTTGCCAGATATAACATTAGTGAACAGTTATCTTGATGATTCTGATGGTTACCAAGGTTTGTTATGTTAATTATGATATATAAAGATACATATAAAAATTGGATTGAATTACGGTATATAATGTAATATATAAAATAATGATAAGGATAATTAATAATATGAAAAATTGATGAGACATCAAAAAATTTTCAAGTCACAGTTGTGTACAATTATTTATAATATATAATGCTTTGTATTATAGACAACCATGTGATCAAAAACCATCATTATCTTGATGATTCTGATGGTTACCAAGGTTTGTTAAGTTAATTATGATACATATAAAGATATATATAAAATTTGGATCGAATTACGGTATATAATATAATATAATATAATATATAAAATAATGATAAGGATGATTAATAATATGAAAAATTGATGAGACATCCAAAAATTTTCAAGTCACAGTTGTGTACAATTATTTATAATATATAATGCTTTGTATTATAGCCAACCATGACCAACAGGTGGATTAAAACATACTGTACTTGCAAGAATTATAGCATGATAGTTTTGTGCTGAACTCAGAGTTATTGGCAAAAAACTACCTTACCAAGTTATTGAAAAATATTGCGTCCTCAAATTTATTAAACAAAATTCATCAAGTTTGCTTAATTCATATGCACACAAAATTATTCTTATATTTACATATTAAATTTTAATTATTCATATTTTCTTCAAAGGCTTGGAGTCTCCCAATGTAAGCTTCTGTGAAACTGATGATGATGATGATGATGACGATAGATCTTCACTCAACTCTGATGATGAAGATGAAGCTGAGGATGAGTATGATGATGATATTTATCCCAGCCCGAAGAAAAGCAAAAGGAATTTATATGATGTCACATGGTAATTGTGTACTTGAATAATTAAAAAAAAAAATCCATTTTCTTATATTTCTAATAGTGCAGCCCAATTTAAATGACTCAATGACAAAACATGCTGTTCCTTCTTAACTAATGGAATTAGATAAATGCTGTAATTTATAAACACACAATGATTTACTTTATAGTTAATCCATAAAATGGCTTCAAGTAGATACTAGATGTAATGTTTGTTTTTATTTATTGTTACCAATAAATTGTGTTACCATTTGGCAGCAGTGTAGCTATGGTGGGCGGGGCCACCCAGCCTTGAAGTTTTCCACCCATTCTAAAGCTAATTTCATGGCCTTCCACCTACCTTTATTAACCTACTTTTCCATCCTCAAAATCCACTCTTATTATCCACCCTTAGTTTTCTACAGCTACAACCTTGCATTTTGATACCTGCTTATTATTATTTAAATGATATAATTTCAGCAATTTTAATTCAAAAATGATAATCACTTACTTATTCATGGAAGCATTTTCATATTGCGTAAAATGACTAGAAGAAATCCATAATATCAAATAAATGATAATGAAAACCACAAGATAGAAAAAGCCCCTAACTTCATATATAATGTTAACTAAGCTGATATTTATTAGTTGACTTTTTCATACTCAAAGGTGTGTAGTGTAAATCTTGTCTGTTCTGGTCTGTGTGTGATTGGATATTCATCATTTATTTATTGATTTTTATTGATTTTTTAATGTTTTTTTTATTGATTTTTATTGATTTTTTAATGGTTTTTTTTTTACAATTTTATCCATAACTCCACCTTTCTTTTCTCTTTAGGAGTGAGATGTCCAAAGAAGAACATATCAGAACAATAGAGGAACTCATATCACTTATTTCAGAGAAGATGAATTTGAGAGATCAATTAGAAATTATTCGTATTATCAATCCGAAAGCGCAGGTTTCACCAACTGCAAACGAATTTATCATTGGTGAGGATGCTACAGTTCATAATTTTTTTTCTTAAAATTCAGCAAACATAATACTTTAACCTTCTACAAAATACCAAGAGAACAGAACAAAATAACCTTTGACATATATATAATTTTTTTTGCCTTTTTAGAACTGGAGTGGCTAACAGATGAGAAGCTGCATAGAATTCGAGACTACATCACACAAACATCAAAACTCAGCAAGTCGGAGTCATCAAAGGAAGATAATGATGAGGAGGCAGATGAAAAGTGCTCAACAAAGAGTACATCAAGCAAGCGTAGGAAATCTAAGGTGAGGTGAAATAAGAACATGTTTCACACAAGCTGATTCAGCTTAGCTACTAGCTTCAGCTAGCAGCTTCAAAATACAGTAGAACCCCTCTCTATTAAGGGGACACCTTTGGGACCAAAAAAGGAGTTGGCAGTAGTGTTAAAAAAATATACTTTCTCTTATTTCATGGCCAAGAAAGTTTCCCCTTAATAGGGGTGTTCCAAAGGAGGGGGTTCTGCTGTATTTGCTTATTCACTAACATTTCTGTTCAAATTTGCCTCACGAGTCCATCCATATTTGAGTCAATGTGTTCAACAAGACATTTCATAGTCCAACGAGACATGTAACGTTCAAACAAGACATTTTACAATCAAACAATGCATTTAATAGTCAGACATGTAAAAGTCCAACAAAACATGTATAATAGTCCAGAAAAACACACCGCTTTTTTACAAGACATGTAACATTCAAACAAAGCATTTGGTAGTCTAAAGCTGGGAACTCGCTGCATCATAAGACGATCGTACAACCACTAGCTGACGAATCCAACTTCGTTGCCTGTGAGCACTAGACGACGTGACAGAGTCTGCTGATTGTCGGTGGCAGTTTTAATGGATCATTAAAAATGATCCAAATTGCACTTGTGTCGCTATCCATAGTATCGCGTTGGCTGAGGCCTTTTGGTGCAGTGAGTGTCCGGCTTAATGCATATAACAGTTCAAACATATAAGAAGTCTTACAAAGACATGTACCAGTCCAACATGACATGTAACAACCACATAACTAAATATTGTCCATATGAAATTTTAAATGTATATGTAAATTTTTCTCTTAGAGAAGTGCTAGAGAAAGAAGACAGCAAATGAGAGCGCAAATGTTACGGCAGTGGAAGGATAATAAACAAGCTGTGAAAGAGAAAAAGAGCGGACTCTTTAGAAATGAAAAGGTTTGTCTAAATAAGTTCTCATTGGATCCCTTAATAATCAGCCTTATCAGTAAACCAAGGCATCTAATGTAACCATAAACCGTGACTGTAGAGATGTACATTAAAATCTCGAATTAATCTAGTTAATGATAACAATGGTATTTTAGTTTGTCTAATATACCTGTTTGTAAAAATTGTTAATGAAAATATATGAATATATTTTAGCTCCGATGAGGACCTCTAGAAACACTTGGCTGATTGATTAATAGATCTGTTATGTATGGGTGGCTGTTAAAGGCCAATATACTCTACTGTCTCTATACTGCCCTCATCAGAGCTTTCGAGATTACAAGAACTTGTTTAAATAGGTGAAGGGCCTTGTATATCAGCCTAGCTACAAGTGTTACCCTCTTTTAAGATAGTTGAAATTAAATACATAAACATAGGTGGTGGATTTTTTGTGGCCTTATGAAAATGATTTTTTTTTTGTATGAATTTCATCCAATCTGTGTATTTATTATTCACTAATGATGGTGTTCCTAAATTTGTAAATTCTTTGTTATATTTTACAGGTTCTCTCTGTAGAAAGGGTTCAGGATGACTGTGAGGAAGTTGATATATTGGGCTGACATTACAGCATGTGTATACCGCCCTCTACTTCTACACAGAAAAATTAATGAATGCATATTATTCTCATCACAACATAATTGTGTTCTTTCTTTCTTCACCAAGTTTAGATTCAGAAACTTTATTTTCAAAGTAAACAGATATAATTGCAAACAGTTAATTTGCACTATTTTTGAATAATGAATTTATATATTTAAACCCCATTCCCAGCAAAATTTCAGTTATTAAGAAAAATCTGATTTTTATATATGTTATAAAGATATATATATATATATATATATATATATATAGGAAAATCAGGAGTAGCTGCTTGGCAAAGTGTAGATATATATCAAATAAAACTCA